GCCTTCTGCCATTTCCACTGTCCAAATGCTTACTGACATGGGTGAGAATTAAAAGGAAAAATTGAATCAGCTAGATTTTCTGATGGGCTGGAGCGATAGCACAGTGGGTAGGGCGTTTGCCTTGCAAGCGGCCAACATGGCCGACCCGAGTTCGATTCCTCCGCCCCTCTCAGAGGGCCCGGCAAGCTACCGAGAGTATCTCGCCCGCAGGGCAGAGCCTGGCAAGCCACCTGTAATGTATTCGATATGCCAAACACAATAACAACAAAGTCTCATGATGGAGAAGTTACTGGGCCCGCTCGAGCAAATCAATGAACAATGGGAGGACAGTGACAGTGACAGATTTTCTGATGTCCCACCTCCCCACCTTTGCTTCCATTCTAACAATGGGACCTAAATTGTAGAGATTAAATTTAAAAAAAAATTATTTAACATAATTTTAAAAAGAAGGCTCATGCCCTTCTGACTCCTGACCTGTGAAAATAACCATTTTTTTGCCCCCTTTCTGTTAGGACATTTCTACTTTTTGCGTTTAAGCTTCCTTGCTATTGTTTCCCTTTCTCATCCCTCTGATTTTTCTTTTCTTTTTCTTTTTTTGACTGGTAAGCCTTTTTTTAAATCATATTTCAAGAGTATTTTGAGAGAATAGAAAATGTAAACACATGCTTTCCATTTGAGCTGCCTTTTAAGGGTCATGCCACTTTTCAAGACTGCTCTTTCTCTTGGTATGCAGAACAAGGCGGCTACTGGGGGGGGGATTTGCATAAGAAGCCCCAGTTTCTTTTGGAAAAGGCACTCATACTTTTCAAAATTCAAAATTAGGAAACCTTTGCAATGATCAAGAGCTACTGAGAAGAAAGAACCCCCAGAATCTCAGAGAATTTAACTTGCGAGGAGAGTAGAGGGGTGGGAGGGGTGAGGATCCTCTAACTCTGCTGTTGGAAGTAGGATTGGCTACATGAATCTGAACTAAGGAATGAAGTCCTTGGAGACCAAGAAGACCTACTAAACATGCTCTCTTATTGTTAAACATTAATGCATGAAAATTTTAGTCATTTTGAACAATGGAGTCAAAAGTGTTGAACACACCTTTTTCTTTTTGCACTTATTATTCATTTTCTTCCGATGCATTTTTTATGTTGTGCTTTTCCAGAATATTTCCACAAAAGTTGTTGCTTCCTTGGACTTTGATTTTGCTTGGCAGAAAGGATTCCTTTCTAAAAACCTAATTTTTCCCTTCTCTGATATAATGAATAAGTCATTCCATCCTGTTTTTATTTGAGTGTGACAATTTGTTAAAGTTTAGTTTCCATCTTTGATAGAACTTATAGTATAAAAATGATAATAATTATTAATATACTAGAAAGGGGATATTTTATACCTCTGAGATTTCACCTTTGCCTGGCCATTTATAAGCATCTATATTGACAAAAATTTCTCTAGGGATTTCTACCATGTGGAAGTAGTCTGATAATTAATTATAGAAACCTTCATTTGCACTTGTGCTTCTGTAATTCTTGGAAATTTGAAGCACAAGCGAGTAGCAGAACCCTTGGGAGAAAGAAACAATAGCACCATTTTTTTTACATTTAGATGGATGTAGGATATGGCATGCTTTTATTGTCCTTGGCAGCAAGATCATTCTAGTGTGTTTAGACTGAGGGATAATTTCAGTGTCCAAATTGTCAAAAGATATTGACTTCAATGCCTGTAGGAACACTGACCCCTGAAGACACTGTGATCTTTTTCTACTATCCTACCTGACTTTGCATGGCTTTACAGCCTCAAGGACAAACTCTGGCAGTGACATACATCTGGGCAGCGTTAGTGGTGTACCTGAAAAGACACACCCATCTATGGGTTGCAAAATTTCCTGCAGGTGGCTATCAATTTCCTATCAAATTCCAAAACTGAAGACTTAAAAAGCACAGAATTTACCCAAATTTATTATTATTATTATTATTATTATTATTATTATTTTGCTTTTTGTGTCACACCCAGAGGTGCACAGGGGTTATTCCTGGCTCTGCACTCAGGAGCCACTTCTGGAAGTGCTCAGGGGACTATCTGGAATGTTGGGAATCAAACCCGGTTCGACCGCATGCAAGACAAATGCCCTGCCTCTGTACTCCAGCCCCCCAAATTTATTATTAATTAAAAATGTCACATATACATGATACACTTTCAGTAACAGTATTGCAAACCACAGTGGCTAAAAAAAGAGGGAGGGAGGGAGGGAGGGAGGGAGGGAGGGAGGGAGGGAGGGAGGGAGGGAGAGAAGTATCTGCCAGAGAGGCAGACTACAGGGGCAGACTGGGAGTGGGAGGGTCAGAGGAAAACTGGGGCCATTGGTGGTAGGAAATATACACTGAAGGGACGGGTTGGAACACTGTGTGACTGATATTCAATCATGAGCAACTTTGAAACTGTACATGTCATGGTGATTCAATAAATTTATTTAAAAAAAATCACACTCTCTATTTTTTTTGAGAAGTGCCCATATTGTTTCCTCAGAAGACTGAACCAGTAGCATTGCCAACAGCAGTGAAAGAGGGAAAGAGGGCCCCCCTCCCTCACATCCACGCCAACAGTGGTTGGTTGTTTTTGATCTTTGTGATATGTGTCAATCTCACTGATGTGGGATAATATTTTATTGTTTTTTTATTTGCATTTCCCTGAAGATAAGTCACACAGAAAATGTTCTTCACACACCTTTTGTTCATCTGAAGGACATCTTTGAGGAAGTTTCTGTTCATTTTGTCTTCACAGTTTTGAATTTTTTTAAATGAAATTCTACCAGTGCTTTATATATCTTGGATATTAACCCTTTATCAGAGGCAGATATTTTTCTCCCAGTCTGTGGGGGTATCTTTTATTCTGGTCATCATTTCTTTTGTGGTACAAAATCTTCATAGATTGATATAGTCCCACTTGTTTATCTTTGCTTCCAATTGCTTGGCCAGTAGCATTAAATCATTGAAAATACCTCTAGAGGCAATGTTGTGAGCTGTTATACCTATGTTTCCTAAGTATAATTTATGGATTCCCATCCAATATTGAGGTCTTTAATCTATTTTGTTCACGCTGTAAGATAGGGGTCTGAATTAACTTCATACATTTTGTTTCTTAGTCAAAGGTTACCTGTCCATATACCGGAGGATCTGTCTCTGGATTTCTGAATTTATTCTATTGATCTGAAAGTGCCCTTACTCTAGGTTCATGTTGTTTTGATTACTATAACTTTATAGCTTATAGTTTAGTTTGAAGTTGGGAAAAGAGAAGCTTCGGTCTTCTTTTTTTTTTCTTTTTCTAGGATTGCTTTGTCTCTTTGGGGAGTTTTATTGCTCTATATAAATTTTAACCTTTCTGAAAACAATATAGACACTTTTCAAAAAAACCTAGGAATTGAGGTTCTATATAACCAAGCTATTTCACTCCTTGTCACCTATCAGAAGGAGCCCCAAACCACTATTTAGAAAAGACATTTGCATTCCTGTGTTCACTGAAGCACTGTTTACAATAATTCAGATCAGAAACTACTCAGGTGTCCAGGAACAGTTAACTGGATAAAGAAACTATAATACATATACACTCTGAGATCCTACTCAGCCATAGGAAAGGATAAAATCATGCCATTTACTGCTATGTGGATGAATCTGGAGAGTACCATGCTAAGAGAAGTTAGAGGGACAGATATAGAAGGATCTCTCTCATAGGTACATAGAGAAACATAGTAAGGAAACAACAAATACTCAAAAGCAACAGAAACTAAAAATTTGTTTTCAGTAGGAAGCTTACCTGGTGATGCAGAGAAAACAGAATGAAAGCCCATTGGCTGAGAGGATGGTGAAGCAGAAACTCAAGTAGAGGGTGTGGCACTAAACTTTTTGTTGCATAAAACCCTACTTTTCATCGTATTATAAGTCATGGTGCCCAAAGTTGAATAATATAACAAATATATACAATAAATTGTGCTTCATAGGATGTATTAGTTTTAAAAGGAATACTCCTTGTCCTAAAAGTCTGAAAGTTATCTTTGAGTCTGCTGATTCCTTGCCCTCTTCAATATCCAGTTGGTAAGTTTGCCCAACTTCTAAAAATGTCTTTCTTGTCTGTTGCCTCCTCCCTACTCTAAGCTAACATTGATTTAATACATTTCTTGCCCACTTGTAAAATGCCTCAATCTTAGGAAATCATGATGTTTTCTTGGGGGAGGTTTTAAGTCTACCATACTCATATCCAAATCTGTTTGTTAAAAATTTTTAAGCATAAGAGAGACATAAGGTATGTATAATGGGGAGACTTTAAAATATAAGGTATTTATAACAAAGTATTTAAAAGGTTTTAAAACCTCCCCCATTGTATACCTTATATCCCTCTTGTGCTTAAAAAATTTAACTGTCACTGTCACTCTCCTCCCGTTGTTCATCGATTTGCTTGAGCGGGCCCAGTAACATCTCCATTTTGAGACTTGTTGTTACTGTGTTTGGCATATTAACAAAGAGATTATTTGCAAAAGACAAAGTGGATATAAGAGACGCTGACTCTACCCCCTCCCTCCCCACTTCCAGGCTCGACAAAACAAGTAAGGGAACAATGATTTACAAAGACCGATGCTAGGATCAAAGTACAAGTATTTGTTAGGTGGGGAAAGTCAATCCTAATTGTAATTGGGTAAGGAGGAATTTGGGAAATAAACACTGCACGCTGTCTCTGCATGCCCTTCAATCTGCTGAGACCGACCACTGGCAAATCTAACTAAACATTAGAGAACAAACAGAGGAATCAAGTGGTGTCTACCACATGGTTAATTCCAGGCACAGTGAAATACCAAAGAGCCTGAAAATACGTCTTTATATCTGGAATATATAGAGGGCAAAGGAATAAAGAAACACTATTCAATGCACTGCTTTTATTCTAATCCCCTCGCCCCCCCCCCACCATGGGAGAAAATTATATTCTTTAACTCTTTATAGTTTACATGCAGAAAGTTAAAACAGCTGTGAATATTCTTGCTGTTCTGATTTTGTAATAATTAGGGCAAGCTAAACATTCACTATAGTAAGACCATGGATATGTCCTTACACCTAGTTCTTTTTTTTTTTTTTTGTCTTTTTTTTTTCAGGTCACATGCAGCAATGCTCAAGGGTTACTCCTGGCTCTGCACTCAGGATTTACTCCTGGTGGTGCTCAGGGGATCATATGGGATGCCAGGGATCGAATTTGGGTTGGTTGCATGCAGGGCAAATGCCCTCCCCACTGTATTATCACTCCGGGCCCAGACCTAGTTCTTTACCTGCCTAGGTCTGATCTTGGAAATGATGGTGGCAAATTTAAAAAAAAAAAAGCTAAAACAGACAAACAAGGGTGTTTTTTTAGCAGAACTAGTGGCAGGATCAGGGTCAATGCAGATTGTCTTCTAACTGACTCATTTTGCAATATTTGGTAAAGCACTTAACCTTTCTGCAGTGCAACTTTTCCAATCCATTAAGTGACTATTATAGAACATTCTCCCTGCTGATATGCAAGGATGATTGGGTGATTCCTTTGGTAATTGCTGAAAAGCATTTTGAGTTCCAGCGAGAAATCCAGGAACACAGGTTGAAGTGTGATTATTAGTTAGAAAGTCTTTCGACTTTGGTTGAATTATCTGATTCTCATTTGTACTTCCACTGTTTACCTGGGGTGCTTCCAATTCCAGTTTAGTCTTCTGTGTACAGTTGTGAAGGCGCTGTGCTATTCTATAATACACACTCCAAGGAAGAGAAATTTGGGCCAGCCATAAAGTGAATAAGGCAGTTTAAGAAGAGAAAGGTTACTAGTCATTGACAGAAATCAGTTGGGAATATGCCAAATGTTATATCCACTGGCATTTCATGGATGACATCTAGCACACAATGGTTTGGGGCTGAGAAAGGACAGCTAGCTTCAGGAAAGTTTCTAGTTATAATTGTTTGATACGTAACTTACAGGATGTGTTTTGGTGTTGATATTCAGTTTTTTTGTGTGTGTTTTTTGTGTTTTTGGATCACACCTGGTTGTGCTCAGGGTTTACTTCTAATTTTGTGCTCAGGGATGGTTCCTGGCAGGCAAAGGGAACCAGATGAGGTGCCAGGGATCAAACCCAGGTCAGCCACATGCAAGGCAAGTACTTTACCCACTGTACTGTATCACTTCAGCCAATCCCCCCCAGCCCTCACCTCAGTGTCACAGTTTTCTGCCCAATAATAGCACTTTATAGAGTCTATCATATTCTCTTCATGGATTAACTTAAAGGTTATTTCAGAGCCTCCTCCAAATGCTTTTGGAGAATGCAAAAAATGCATAGTTCTTAGTACTTCTAGATCTCATTTCATTCTTTCATGTTGAGATATAACATGAGATATGGCTTCATTACGGCCTTTTGGAATTAAAAATATCTAGAGCATATAAATATTTATCTCATGGTTTAAGCAATTATGACGCTAAAGAGAAATTTAAGATTGGATTGTACCTCTCGCCCTGTTCTCTCTCCCCTGAGAGGTGGCCTTATACCTTAAAGCAGTAGGTTTGCATATCAAAATGCCAGCTTGACCCAGCTGTCTGAATGTCAGGCCAACAACAGAATTCATTAATTTCCTCGACAAGTTGGCAATTTCTGGTTATTTTCTGAAGCAATGCTAATTCCAGGTATACTCTTAGGACCCTAGTCCTTTTGGCAAATACATTGGCATGCATTAGCATATATTCTCATTTTGTTCTGGAATCATATACTGTCATGGCTCTTCCTCATAAAAATGGTAGCAAAATGAAGTGGGCCCAAATCATACCGAGTTTAGAGTGATTGAAACAAATGTTTAATTTCTTTTCCAAAGGAGAAAGTGCAGCTAGAAGATAAACAGTTCAATCTTCAATTTACCATAATTTTAAATTTTTCTTTGGGACTATAAAGCAAGTACTAAAACAGAGACAAATGGACAAATGACAGGACATGACAGAAATATAGACCTACTCTGTCCCTTTTTATTTATGAGGCATAGCCTATCTATTGATTGTCTTTTTTTTCAATTGCTCATTTGTTTTGGGTCCATACCTCGTGGTGCTTATGGCTTACTCCTGTCTCTGAGCTCAGAGCTTACTTCTGGTGGGACTCCAAAGAACCGATGGAGTGTCCAGGAATTGAAACCAGGTTGGCCAGCATGTAGGCAAGAGCTCTATTCACTGTATGAACTCTCAGCCCCATTGCCTGTCTTATTTTTATCTTTTACGTGAAATGTTGTTTTGCATATTTTAATTATACACTGATTAAAAACTAGGCAAAAAATTGTTCCCAACTAGAGGCCCAGGCAAACCATCTATAATTAATCTGTAATGAATGTTTAACACCACAGCATTAGAGATGTTAATTTGGTTGCTTTTGCTTTGCTTTTCGAATAAGAAGTCTTACAAATAAGTGAAACAGGGAATATATGCTTATTGGAAGATAATTGAAACAGAAAATTTCAAAGTGTCTTTCAATGTCATTTTTGCATTTCTTCCTTTGAGGCATCTGGCCCCTTCCCCTAGGCTAAGTCTATTAGCAACCTTTCAGGAGCCTGTTTGCCTGCGCACACACAGTCTTTGCATAGAAATCAAAAAGTACACCACACTCATGCTATTTTGAAATATATCTCTTGCAATGTCATTTTATATTGTCAACCTATTTTCATTTCAAGAGCATACATCTACTACATTCATCCTAATTGTTACAAGTTATTCCCCTGAAACACACATAAATTTATTTAAACAATTCCCAATTGACTGACATTTAAGTTGTTCCCAGCTTTTAGCTATTTTCAATAAGCTCTAGTGGAGATTCAAATATTCTTTGTTCACGAGTGAGGGGAATATTTGGATATATTCTGGGGTATGTTATTCAAATTACTTGAATTTTGAGGATTCATTGCCAAATTAAATGGGAATGTCTATTTTTTGATTTGCACTGTAAGAGAGTATTTTTTTGTTTGTTTGTGGGCCACACCCAATGGTGTTCAGGGCTTACTCCTGGCTTTGAACTAAAAAATTACTCCTGGAGGTGCTCAGGCAACTATATGGGATGCTGCGAACCAAACCATTCGACTGCGTGCAAGGCAAACTCCCACCCGCTGGACTATCACTACAGCCCCAAGAATGAACATTTTCATCCAGATCTTTCCCAATTTGCAAACTCAGGCCTACAGAATGGGAGCACAGGTGGTGGTGGCGGGGGGAGAGGGTTGTCTTTGAAGACAGGTCAAAGAAAATGGGATTCTGATCAATGTTACTGTGAATTCAGTATACCCCTGAAGTAGTGGACAAGAAGAGTGGAGAGACTTCTAGGTGGGAAGTTCTCTAAATGTTTTCCTTTTCTTCTATTTTGTTACTTTATGTTCCCCAGATGAATGCAATCTTTCTATGTCTATCCTTCTCTTTCTGACTCATTTCGCGTAACATGATACTTTCCATGTAATGCCATTTGTATGTAAATTTCATGACTTCATCTCCATGGCCTGGAGGCCAGCAACACATGCTAGGGGAAAAGAGAGCTCAGATCGAGAAGGGAGCACCAAATAAAGGGTGTTGGGAGGATCCTCCCAGGATGGGAGAAGCATGCTGAAAGTAGACTACAGACCAAACATGACTGCCACTCAATGCCTCTTTTGCAAACCACAGCACCCAAAAGGAGAGAGTGGAGTCATTACTTCCACAGAAGACAACTCCTACCTCAGAGTTACCAATAAATAAGCAAACACTTCAATAAAAATTGGAAAAATTGGGACTGGAGTGATAGCACAGAGGGTAGGGCATTTGCCTTGCATGGGGCTGACCCGAGTTTGATTCCCAGCATCCCAATGGTCCCCTGAGCACTGCCAGGAGTCATTCCTGAGTGCAGAGCCAGGAATAACCCCTGTGCATCTCCAGGTGTGACCCAAAAAGAAAAAATAAATTGGAAAAAATTTTAATAGCCCAAAGTGGATAAATAATGACAACTGGTGGTTTGATTGGTGCTGCAATATTTTATGTCTAAAACTCAACCATGAATAACTTTGTAAATCACAATATTTTGATTTAAAAAGTTGTGGAAAGAAAAAAACATTTAAAAAGCCAAAATAATGGGGCTGGAGTGATGGCACAGCGGGTAGGGCATTTGCCTTGCACGCGGCCAACCCGGATTCAATTCCCAGCATCCCATATGGTCCCCTGAGCACCGCCAGGAACAATTCCTGAGTGCAGAGCCAGGACTAACCCATGTACATTGCCAGGTGTGACCCAAAAAGCAAAAAAAAAAAAGAATAGCCAAAATATTAAAAAAAGAGTAAAATTTAAGGAATATGGTTTTTTTATTAAAATTTTTTAATAGTGAGACATCATGAGGTACAGTTGCAGACTTACACATTTTTGTGCTTGGATTTCAATTATACAATGATCAAATACCATCCCTCCACCAGTGCCCACTTCCCACCACCATGGATCCCAGTATCCCTCCCACCCCTCCATCCCCCCCATCCCACCCTGTCTCTGTGGCAGGGCATTCCCTTTTGTTCTCTCTCTCCTTTTGGGTGTTGTGGTCTGCAAAAAAACATTGAGTGGCAATCATGTTTGGTCTAAAGTCTACTTTCAGGATGCGTCTTCCATCCTGGGAGGATCCTCCCAACACCTTTATTTGGTGTTCCCCTCTTTATCTGAGCTCCCTTTCCCCCTAGTATGTGTGGTTGACCTCCAAGTCGTGGAGTAAAGTTCCTGGTACTAATCTCTGCCATTCTTGGGTGTTAGTTTCCTATTTTGTTACTTTATGCTCCCCAGATGAATGCAATCTTTCTATGTCTATTCCTTTCTTTCTGAGTCATTTCGCTTAACATGATACTTTCCATGTAGTACCACTTGTATGTAAATTTTGTGACTTCGACTTTTCTAACAGCTACATAGTACTTCATTGTGTAAATGTACCAAAGTTTCTTTAATCAGTCATCTGTTCTCGGGCACTCAGGTCTTTTCCAGATTCTGGCTATTGTAAAGAGTGCTGCAATAAACAGGCAATTGCAGATGTCACTTCGACATCTTTTGCCTCTCTGGGATATATATAGAAACTTTCACAAAGAAGAAATCCGAATGGCTAAAAGGCACGTGAGAAAATGC